AAACATTTGTACAAAAATTAACAGGTTCCGATGCCCTCACAATATCAAGTTTTTTTTGTGGACGTTGCATTTTCGTGTTTAACATAATTCTGAATTGTATTCAAAATTAATATGCTGTATGCAAAATCTGTTCCGAATCAGGTCACAAGGGATTTGGGCCAACTACATTTCTATTAGTAAATAGGGCAATTGGGGAACTTTACTTTAGGCACTCTATCTACGGTCATGATTCCCCAATGAGTTTCCATGGCGCTACCGGTAATAATTTGCCAAGGCTCGTCGAACGCTTCAAAGAAATAATAAGAAATATTATGACGATTTGCTTCACAGACAAAAGTATCCATGAAATACTGTAAGTTGTCCAAAGTAGCAACTGCGCCTTCGTATGTTCCATTCGCGGTTGGCCAACTGTTAATATAATAGATAAGAGATTAGTCAAATAAAAACTCAATAGATAATATGGAGGATGTAGAATTTACCCTGTCTCACTAATAACAGCAGGTCTTCCTTGACTAGGTACAACGATATTTTCGTTAAAGTACTGGAAAGTCCAATTGGCACCTTGTTGTACTGTTACTCCGGCAAAGAAAGGGTGAATGTTGGCAAGGATAACATCCGAAGCGCTGAACATGGTCGCGTTGAAGTTCGATCCCAAATCTGAAGTAGTAACTTTTATATTTTTGAAACCCATCGCTTTCACTTTCGATCGTACTTCAGCTATCCTGGAGACTAGATCAGTCTCAGTAATATCCTTTCTGAACAGAACTTCAGGAAATTACAAAAGAATGAGTTGAAAAAAAAAGAAAAAGAATATTTAAAAATATTCAAATAAACTTACAAAAAAAATGAAAAAAAAAATTCTTTGACTTTTTTCAAAGACCTACTTCTCAAAACTTCTTCTAATAAAAAATACTCAATTAAAAATTTTTTTCTTTTTTTGATTATCTAAGAAACTTATTTATTCTTAATTTTAATTTCCTTATATATCATTTAAAAAGACTTAGCATCTATTAAGAACCTTTACTTTCAGTAATATATTTGATTTTAATCTTTTTTAAATAGTAATTTTTTATTTACTTATAATAAATGAGTAACTTATTTAAGCAATATATATATATATATTTTTAACTAATCCAATTGACAGGACAAATCTTTTATTGAGGTAATCGATAGTACATTTTTTCAAATTACATAAGCAATTTGTATAATCCTATTTTTAACTATCTCTCAATTTCAAGTGTACCAAATTTTATCATATAGTGATATCATTTTTGTTAATTACCCTATTCTATCGGAGTCTATAGTGTTTCAAGAATCCACTATTGGACTTCTTATTTTTTTAATATTCAAGTAACTTTATAATGTATGTTTCTTAATAAAGTCTTATTTGCACTTGATAATAATAGGTACTATGGATGATCCTTATTATGTTCAATTTTTAAAGGGCTGATTTAAACCTTGATTTTTTCAAACATATCAATTATATATTGATATTCAAGTAGTTTAATGGAATGTTCTATAGATAATATATAGCTTTGCATTATAACCATTTTTAATCACTCTTTTGATATAATCTACTAAAGATATTTTTTGATCAAACAAGATCTTAGATCTTTCTCAAACACTTTTACTCACTGTAATTTTTATTATAATATTACCACTAATCACTAGCCTACATATCCAACTATTCTCTATAATAGCTATTGGTTTCACAATCCATAGAATTTTTCATTTATTCTTTGTTTCTAACCTATTCTATTTTCAACTGATACAAATAACTATTATTTTTCATATCTTTCATGAGAATGTTTTTCAAGAAAAATTGAATGTTTACATTTTTATTGAAGGCTTGGACCAATCAGAGTTTTTCCTGATATCTTGGTATCTTTACATATTTTAAACATTAAGAATCTTTTTTTTTCTATTACTAAAACTGACTAGGACCTATATAACTTAATTTTATATTATAGTTGAATGATAAATTTTTATAGATTGTTTATATATAAGTATACATATAGCTAATTAACATATATCTTATACAATGTAACCTATATTACAAAGACCATTCTTGAGTGAAATTGAACTGGTAACTCACGAATAGTAACTTAGAAGTATACTCACTGCACTATTGAATCATAAATAACTTATTTGAGCAATATAATATCTGCTATATATATTAATTATATATATTTAACTTATTATTAATATTAAAATTTTTAATTTGATTTTACATATAATATTTTATTTTATAATAAATTTTAAAATAATATTTTCTAATTTAAACAATATAGTTAGCAGATTATTTTTTTTTAAATGGGTGGCTTACACCTTATTTATTAGATATTTTATGATAAGTATGTACAAATTTATTTTATTCAAATTTATCACTCTATCTACCTAAGTAAACTCACTAAGGAAATCTTCCTACCATGTGGCTTATTGTCAAGTACTGGTATATACTTGACTAATTTGCCAAGGCTCTACTTGTCCCATAAAAATTTTTGTTGAGAATGAATAGATTGTGTTCTAGTTAATTCAATGATGGCTAGTATGTGTCATAAGTGCGTTGATACCTGGAATATATAATTTGTGTGTATTCTTTTTTGTGATTATGGATTGCCATTGTCTTTTGTCTTTTGCAGTAATATTGTGCTCCTTTTCCCATTGTATGAAGTTGTTATATCTTTGGTTCCATTTTTCTTGTTGTATCTCGAGAAATCTATTGATAATGCTTTTGATAGTTTCTTTGTGATGTTCTGTCAGTGTATATTTTTAATGGTTTTTATTAAGTCCATTGTAAGGGCTCCTCTCACTATGTAATTCTTGACTTCATTTGTCCAGAGTTTTGCCTATTTGTTGAGGTTGTGTCTTGTGAAAGCATTTGATCTACTATTGACTTCTTCATTAATTATTTGTAGTAATTCTTTATATATGTCTACTCCATTCCCCTTGCATACCATGCAGTATATGTTGGTTTCTATTTGTTGACAGTTGAGGCATTGGTTGTCCATGTAGGTGTTTGCTGCTCTTCTGTGTAGTTTATCCTTGGTAGATAGTTCTAGTTTACAAAGTCTGTATTTGAAGAATCTACTATTGTGGTTCTCTCGATTGGTAGGTCCTATTGTGAGTTTTGAAAGTGGTCTATTGGTGAGTGAGGCCTCCCATACAATGTCATTTAATGTGGAGGTACTATCAGTTGTTGTAAGGTTACGATCAAGGCTTCTCTAGTTGAGGATATGTTTTGTACTGATTAAGGTTTTGATCGATATTATGATCGTATTGTCTAGAGTCTGTCCATTCTATTCTTGTGTCCAATTTGTTGTGTTGCTTCTCATTGGTATGCATTCAATTTCAGCTACCTTTCCTGGTAGAGTTGCCTCTTATGATAAGAAATCTACTTTATCATTATGTTTGTCATTGCTGTGAGCTTTGATTTTTTTCCAGATGATAGTTTGTTTTTGGTTTTCTATAATGTGAATTATAGTATAGATTAAGTTGTTGTTTTTAAGTGTTCTCAAGTTGGCTAGGTTTATTTGTGCTTTGTTTATTGCTCCTAGAGCTGTTTGACTATCACTACAAATGGTGATTGTGCAGTTGGCAGGTGCTGTTTT